TGTGCAAGTCTTTTTTATTTGTGATGTCTTTAATTTGAAATTTCATCATTGCATTTGTCTATTACATTTACTTGAATAAACTAGTAAGAGAAATTGTGATATTGAGACAGTCTTGTTTGGTGGTGTTACTAGATGGTAAGCATAACTCATTTTTGGATTAAAGGTCTAAGGCCACTTGTTAATGGTTTTCCTTCACTGGAATTTGGAATTGGTTCCTGTTCCACTAGGGTAAATATATATATATATATATTTTGTGCACCCCCCAAAGGGGTAAAAACAAAAGAGAAGGATAGGGGGAAAGGCAAAGTTTATTCAGGAATTAGGGACTGGAATTTTAATATTGAAATTCTATGGGTTGAAACCTAATGCACTTTATGTCAACGAGACATCAAAAAATTCACCTTTTCAATCCTTAAGCACCAAGTATAAAACTTTCTGATAGATACTGTGCATGATTTTCATATAATCATACTTACATATATCTATTGTAATGAAAGCTGAACTGGTGTATTAACTCTGTTCGTGCAGTTTTCTCCCACTTCTGAGCACATATTGCTTGCTTACGGTCGTCGCCATAGCTCTCTTCTTAAAAGCATTGTTATTAATGGAGAAACATCATTACCTATTTACACAGTTTTGGAGGTAAAAGTTCACTAGTTCCCTTTGAATAATTTGAAAATGTTCATATTGTTTCTTTACACAGCCAGTCGCAAGCCCGGATAAGGAGGGTTATGTGTTGGGTAGCCTGAAAGTCAACACATGAAACTCTTTGTTAGATCCCTTGTGAACTTGAATTTTAATAGGCCAAAAAGATTCATGTAACTGACTCAACTTGATTGGGGACACATGGCTTATTTTTTATATGTCCTGTATACATCGGATGTGTCTTTTTATAAATTTTATCTGTACTTGTGAAGAAAAGAGGACAGTGAAAGGCAAAATTTAAACTGTGCTTCTCATTGGTTCGCTGTTAACCATTGTTAGTTAAGAAATGAGGGGATTAATGCAAATGTTTTTAAAATGTACACTGAAGACTCTACTGATATCACCAATAAGCTTCATTCTGAATGTCAATATATGCATACAAATTTTAGATGTAAAAGACTCTCAGAAGTAGTTAAGAGGCCTGGGAATCTTTAGGATCCATTGTTGAATCTGTAGAATCATTTATTTCCCAATAAATATGAACCTATATAAACAATTAAAGAAACATAAATTTAGAACGGAAAATAATTTACTGGTAATCTGCTGGAGGTATGCATTAGTTCTCTTGCTCAATTAATCTTCATCATATGATTATGTAACTCAAAAGGGTTGGCAGAACAATTTATCATATGATTATGCAACTCAAAAGGGTTGGCAAACCTCATTGTTCATGCAGTATATATGAATTGAAGATCTGCTATTTAATTGCTTAGAAAGTGCTTGATTTCCCTTGTTGAGAATTACTCTTTTCTGCCCTGGGCTCAGGTATATCGAGTTTCAGATATGGAACTTGTGAGTGTGCTTCCGAGTGCAGAAGATGAGGTCAATGTAGCTTGCTTCCATCCTTTAGCAGGTGGTGGCCTTGTCTATGGAACTAAGGTGCGCATTTGTCTTTGTCAGGAGGTTTTACATTCTTTTTGGAATATCATCTTGGATTTTTGAGATATGGCATGCTGTTAATCACAGGAAGGAAAGCTTAGGGTTTTGCAGTATGATGGTTCTCATGACAAGATTTGTACTAGACCAATGGTTGTTTCAGAGGAAAATATCGTTGAGGTAGAACAGTATCCCAGGTTGTGGTAGATACTTCCTTCTGTATTTCTTTGATGTGTAATCTTTTTATGCTTTCAAATGTTGTTTACACTATGCTTACTAGTTCTGTCCTTGATTCTCTATGCTTTATTCATTTTCTTCGGTTGACAGATGGTGTATCATTATCTTTTTTTTTGTGTGTGTGTGTGTGTTTTAATTTTTTGTAGGCATTAATGTGTTGTGTTTATACTTGACAGCAGTTGCATCTTTGCTTTTTCGTCTTGATCCAATAATTTTTGGCTGATCTTTATACTTTAATTTATTATTATTATTATTTTTGTGATCTAATGTGGTTAATGAATGTTAAAATATGATAACTAGTGCTTTTTAGATATGCGTTTAAGCATGGTCTTTTTAGTTTGAAGAAAATCTCCACATGTTTTATGTTTTATCTTTACACCGTCGTTCCAAAGCCTGAATACAGGACGATAGTTGTGGTTGGTTGAGTCGACATAAAACTTATAATCAGTCTTTACAATCATGGATCCTAAGAATTCTTCCATTGGGGCGTTCCTTACTCGCAACGTGCAAGCATTAGCTGCGGTGTTCCCCCAATCGATGTGCTGCGTTGGTGTCTGGGTGTGGTAATAAGTAGGCAAGGGTTACTATACTTTAATGTACAAGAGTGAAGGTAAAGAAGCTAGTCCAAGAGAGTAGGGTACACATAGGAAATTGGAATATGGAAACATTAACAGGTAAGAGGATGGGATCCGTGCTATCAATATCTTATGATACGCAATACGTCTCGTATCAGTTAGAAAGAGATATGTATCACATACCGTATTGCACGCACTTGTATCGCACAATACGAAGTCATATCGTTCAATTTTGACTTGTATTGCGATTTGTATTATTACATTGTGCTTCATTTTCTTTGTTGGAAGATGTAACTTTAACATCTGCCGGGGCCCTTTCAGTTTGGTGTGGCACACAATATACAAGCCTTTATTGAGACAAAGCTGTTTCCTTCACTCTTCATCACTGATTTCTCCACTTTTTTGTTTACTCTTGTTCTTGTACTATTGACATGATAAAGTATTTGGATTTCTTTCAAGTTTTCCCCCCCTTTGATACAAGTACTTTGTGTTTTTGGTACTGGGCAATATCTATAATTCCTTATTCTAATGCATTCTGGATGTATTTGTTCCCTTCATTTAGAGGTGGAAAATTGGTGTCAATCGTTTGAATAGTTTCGTTACAAAACAGGAATATGATTAGTTATGTCTTCTTGTTTGTTACAGGTTCAGACATATGCTTTAGAATGCTAGACTCATGGTTGCCATTCATCATTAGAGGAGTACAGCTTGAGTTGGATAGTATGTGCTTCTCAACTTTGATGCTTCCTCTCAATATTTGTTGAATTTTTAAGATATGGATGGGCTAATTTTCCTATTATTTAATTGTTTATTTATTTTTTCTCAAAAAAAAAGAAAAGAAAAAAGCTTTATTTATTCCTTGATTAGAATAAACATGTGTAGTTTAAGAATTTGGTGCTATGTTAAGGTTGAAGTTGATATGCACTCATATTCATGTACATTACCAAGAAACTTGGCAATTTTTGCCGAGTTTTACACTAGAGTTTGTAGCTAATTTTTCTGGGATGATGGATTCCCTTTCTTTTTTATTTGTCTGCTTACGATTTTACTTTTGATGGTCTTACAGGCAGTCAATTTAAGAGGATTTATACACTTCTTGACCAAGCTACCACAATTTCAGAGTACTTCCTGTGTCTCATTAGTCCATTTATTTGCATGTACCATCATCTTTCATGTTGACCTTTGGTAATTCCAAATAACATGTTTCTCTTGAGCCCCTTGCTAGATTTCCAAGTCTACCTATATGTCTCATTAGTATTTAGTTCCAAAGGTTTTGAGGATGCAAAAATTGATGTTTCCTTTCTGATTGCTCACTGACCTCCCAGGAGCCCTGGTTTTCCAAGAGACTGCCCATAAAAAGTGATAGATTTACCAATTTCATGAAAATATTGTGACATTTGTGTAACTAAGTAGATATCAACTATCAAGCACTCCAGAAAGCTGTGCAAGTGAGAATTATTATACTATAATAGACAGCTCGTGTACTCCCCCTTTTGAGTAGATCCGTTTGAAATTTTTTAGTGGATGAGCAGAATGTTTTTTTGTACTGTTTTGCGTTATGTTTGGAGGCTCCCCTTATTTTTGTTTTTTCAGAATATGTTGCATTGTGAATAATAGAATGTTGTTTAATACGGGTTGAACCCCCATACTTGTGTCTCCAGGAACTCGTGCCATACCTCTCCTGGAGCTCTTTCAGCTTGTTGGAACTGGGGTTCTTCAATCTCTTTTTTCCCCGTATACTTGAATCATGTTTGTGTCAACTTGTACAATATCATAGGTGTCAAGACAAGTTTGTATTTTCACTTTTTTCTATGTATCTTTTTTGGCTTGTGTTTTTTTTTTGGTGAAGTAGCGAGGGTAGAGGCAAACTGAAAAATATTGTAGATTCTCTGGGGGAGAATTTCTCAGCTGTTGGGGGTGCTTGTAATTAAGTCGTTAACAGTCAATGCGTTGATGTAATTTTAAAAAATGAGCTGTTCCCATGATAATCAGCTTAATATATAGCTCTCGATTACTGTCTCAGTTCGTGTTTTGTTTAAAAACAAAAAATCAAATTTAATGTATTGTAGTTTATTTATTTTATTATTATTATTTTCTTAGAGCTTGTAATTCTTTATCTGATTTTCAGCTGCTCGTTGGTTAATGGGATGTTTGAAATGCTGCCACATGATGCGTTGACTGACTTGCATTTTTATGTTTTGTAGTTATTTTTTCTATACACTAATTTATAATTTTTAATAAAAATTAAAATAAAATGTGAATTACATTGAAACAAGCACACTACAAACCCCAAGGTTAGGTTTGGTTGCTGTTTGCTTATTCTAAGGTTTTAGGTTTGATTCTAGCAAAACTCTTATACTGTGTTTGGTTGAGGGATTTGGTAAGGAAAATAAAAAAGGTGTGTGAAACTATGTGAAATGTAGGTATATTTTTTTTACATTTCACTTACCTTTTTCATTTTCCTTTTTAAATTCCTACTCAAATCTCTCAACCAAAAACAACATTAGGGTCACATGTTACAACAAATAAATCTATTTTGAAAAGTTTGTTTTGATTGTAGGGATTTAGTCTAGTACACATAAGTTGGCTAAGGACAAATTACACATAAAAAAAAAAAAAAACACAAGCACACTACTATCAAATAAATTTGTTTTGGAAGGCTGTGTTTTGATTGTAGGGATTTAGTTGGTGCGTATAAATTGGTTCAATATACCTTACATATAAAAAAAAATAAAAAAATAAAAAGAAAAGAAGAGAAGAGCACACGACAATCAAGGTACACAAAGGAACAATACAGCTTGGGAAAACAGACAGGGATGGGGTTCCATGGCCCAAAGATTTATTCAAGACGACAAGTTTGTACCATCCTTCTTACCATTATATGAGAAGGAACAACCCTACTCTAACCTGGTGCGAAGGACAAAGAAGGAATCTTCTCCCAAAAAAAAAAAATGCAGCTTCTCCATGTTTGTTTTTATTTTATAAATCTATAAAGCAGAGTATTTATCATAAAAAATAAAAATAAAAAATTAGAGAGAAAATGCTTTTAACTTTTGTATTTATTTAAAATTAATGCTAAGAACACATTAAACACTGCATGAATGTACATAATTTTACAAGATCCATTGATGGAATTCATTTTTAAAAAGTCTAATTGAATAATATTTTTTTGTATTTGGTAACGTGTTTGATTTTTTTTTTTTTGTATATCTATATCTATATATATATATATATATATAAAGATAATGCTATATATAAATAAAATTTATGAACAAAATATTCATGCAGAATAATATTTCATTTATATTAATGTATTAAAATTCAAAAAGATGATCACTATGGTTCATAATTATTAAAAAAATTATCATTACATTATAATGTATGATTTTTTTTATATATATATATATATATTTATTTTTGTAAAAAAAATTCTAAACATATAATTTTTCATAAATACATTTGGCAATATCTTACAAATCAACTTATTAGTTAAAAAAACAAATCTATTTTGCTAAAAAAAAAAGAGAGGTTATTTGATCATATTAATTTCTCACCAAAAAGTTAATTTTAACCACTTTGAAAAGTTATTAGAAATGTTAAAAAAATTAAAAAAATGTCAAATAAATTAATTTGTTTTAGCATTAATTAGTTTTATAGTTAAATCCCAAAAGAGTAGTAGTAATGTTAGAATGGCTATCAATTCCTACCATCTTATTTTACTATGGCGCCATTTGGGAACATTATAAAAAAGTCAAAAATCAACTTGTATCATCTCTCACATAAAAAATTAAAAAAATTAATTTTTAACCATCTTTATAAAACACATTGAAAATAAAAATGTAACGAACAAACAAGATACTAAAGCTAATATATGTATGGGTATGATATAAAAATGTGGATACATAAGTCTAGAATCAGTTGGATCATTACTATTACACATATGCAATCACTTTTTTTATTTTTTTATTTTTTATCCTAGCAGTAAAGGCTTACCCTAACTAGTCCAATATTCCCTCATGATAAAATTGTAATGCCCTTGACCAGTCAAACAAACATTAAAAAGAAAAACTCATTTTAGTTTTAATACAAAAAGACATAAAAAAGTAGATTAGTTTGAAGTATTGAATAGGACATGCATTGACAAATTGTTTTCCCTTTCTATGACAAACACAATTCACTACTACCTTCTAAACCAAACCCTAAACCCAAAATAAAATAAAATTATAAACATCACACTCCTAGAACTCAAAACAAAAAAATCAAAAACATACAAGTAGATCTTATGATGACGATGATGAGGAATCAAATTTGTAGTGTTTATCAACGGCTACGGACACATCCCACGTGCAACTGAGTCCTTTCGGGATTATGACGAGATCACCGGCGCCAAACTCCACGACCTCCGACGCCGCCGATGACCCTTTTGGGTAGACTTTAACTTTCCCTTTAAGAAGATAACAAGTCTCCTCTGCGTCGAATTTCAGTTGGTACTTCCCTGGCGAGCAACCCCATCTTTTCGCCACCAACCAAAAAAAAAAAAAGAAAAAAAAAGAAGCAAACTTAACATATATGTATGTACGAAACGTTATACGTGAATCATTTAAATTGACAGTGACTAATTAAAACAGTTTGATTAGATCTAATAAGACAAGAAACTGATTAAGAGAAGAAGTTACAACGTTATTCGATTCATCTACACCAAGTGTGCCATTGGCTTTATAACATAGAGAGAGAGAGAGAGAGAGAGAGAGAGAGAGAGAGAGAGAGAGAGACTTACTTGGGCCAAGATTTGATACCGAGTTCAGAGAGTTGGGATTGTGAGGGGTTATTTTGGACAATAATTCTAAGATTAGGTGACGAGTCTGAGTTCGACTGTGCAGCCATGAAAGTGGATGGTGTTGATGGGTTCTTAAAACAAGGATTGGTTTTGGAGGAAGATTAATGCTAGTGTTTTAATAAAATTTGACCTCTCTCTCTCTTTCTCTCTCTCTCTCTCTCTCTCTCTCTCTCTCTATGTATATGGGACACACAACTTTCGTGGAGAGAGATGGAATCTCTACCTGGAATGGAGTAGTTGAAATGAAGGGATAAGAGACCACACATATACGATGTTTATATATAAGGAATGCGTTGCAAGCTTTGGTCATAGATTCATAGTATATATATATATATATATATATGTATGAGTAATTTATTATTATTTAAATTTTTTAAAATTGAGTTTTTTTGTATTTTTTTTATTTATAGTGAATATTTAAAATTTTTAAGTAATTTTTTACTTATTTTTAGATCCACCTTATTTACATATATCTAAATAATAAAATATTTTTAAAAATTAATAAATACATAAAAATAAGAAAAATGTAATGAATTTTCTTTTTTTTTTTTGATATATATTTTTGGTATTTAATGAATTTTTTAAATATTTTTTTTTCCACAAATATTATACTTTTTAAGTGTATTTGTGTTAAGTGTGTCTAAAAATTAAAAAAGTTACTTAAAATATTAAAAAATTTCGATAAAACAAAAAATACGAAAAACGAAAAAGTAAATTTTTTTTAAAAATAAACTTTAAAAATTGAAACCAAATAGAATGATTATTATTTTATGGGATGCATTATTTTTTGCGATATAAAATGGGATTCATTAAACTAATTCAATAATGCATTTGATACAGAAATTAATCACAATATTACTCTACAAAAACATTAAATACTCTAATCGGTCAATTCTTGTCTTTTTACAATCATAAAAGATCTCACGATTTGCATTTGAGTGGATGACTAGTTTAACGTGTAAATTAAGAAGAATTTTTTTTTTGTGACATGTATATTTCATGACTTAAATGTTTTATTTGATTTGATTTGACTAATGTATTTTTTGTGCCTCCGTTTGGGAAGTGGGTTGACTTTTTAGCTTTTTGACTTTTTTGACTATTTTAGCCTAGGCTTAAAAGCTTGGTTTGGGAAGGGCTTTTTGACTTTTTGGCTTTTTTGAATTTTTTTATGAGAGAAGAATGTAATGATTATGGGTTGGATGTGATGTTTTATTTTTTATGGCTAAAATAGCTTATTTTGTTTTTTGTGGCTAAAATAACTAAAAAAGCCTGCAAACCCACTTGCCAAACACAAGCTGACTTTATGTGATTTTTAATTATTATTTGTCATAGTTAAAAAGTAAAATTAAATGTGATTAAACACTCAATACCTTATGATGGAGGACAAAGTGACTTTTTAAATTTGACATTTATCATATCATTTTTTTATAAATTAGTAGTGTTCTTAGAAGTGCTGAAAAATCTAAGGGCAATGCTGGGGACCCCCAGTGGGGGCGACTCCCAGTGGGGGCGACCCCCAATGACAGTTGACGCACTGTCAATGGCTCAAAATTAAAATAAAAAAACAAAGTAAATAAATAATTTTTGGGCCAATCAGAGATGACCCCAACACCCTCACTGGGGTCCAATTCATTTTTCAAAATCTAACCATTAAACCTAAGATTTATATTGCAATAAAAATAATTAAATTTACAATTCACCTTTCGGCTTTTTTTATAATAAATTTTGTTTCTAATTTATGAACAAATGTATTAATTCATAATGTTAAGTGATAAAATGATAGACTCACACGCAAACTTTATATTTGCATTCATTAATATATTTTCCGATATATTTTGTTAGTGTCTCAAAATATTTTCATAACTCAAGCTAATTTTCAAATTTGACATATAATATAATTGAAATGTTTTTCACCATAAAGAAATTAATAAAATGAAACAAATGTTTTTAATTATAAATGTTTGATGGGCAATAGTTTTTATTTTTATTTTTTAGAAGGACAATATCAAAGAAGTTTAAAAAAAAAAAAGAATTTAAAAAAAAATGTTGGCAATAATTTGGAGAGGATAGGATTTCTCTGGTCAAACGGTTGACCAGATTCACTTCAGCTGACACGACACACGTGGCATTAAACGAATGGATGTCTGTTTGACTGTTTGACCGGGTATCATAATCTTTGAAGATGCCGACGTGTCACCCTCACACGTTTTTTTTTTTTGTTTTTTTTGGTTGTGTAAAACATTTTGGGCTAGTTCACGCGTACTAAGGGTTGTTTTGGGAAGATGGTAAAAAGTGATTTTTTGGCTTTTAACTAAGTTTTTGGCTTTTTTTAGACAAATGATTTGGGAAGTTGGTAAAAAGTGACTTTTGACTTTTTTGATTAATATTTGTTTATGATGTCAAATCATAATAAAATGACTAAACTACCCCCATTTATTTAAAATATTTACAACTGAACCTATGTAACACATTGTGACCCATGAGGGGTAAAATTATAATTGCACCGTTGGCTAAAAACCAACTTGCCAAATGAAAAAAAAGCCCAAAAAGCCAACTTTTAGCTTTTGCTACTAACCAAAAAAAGTGACTTTTAGCCAAGTTCCCAAAATAGCCCTAAATTAAGTTCTTGCAATCCGAACAAATCTTTTGAAATAGGAATTACTCTCTCTATTTCAAAATATTAATCCTTTATTCTATTTTTTATTGTTCCAAAATATTAGTCCCTCTTTAAAGATCAAGTACAAAAATAATATAAATTTTTTATTTTGTCCTTCTTTTAAATTAATAAACAATATAAAAAGTACAATTATGATATTAATATTCCCAAAAAATGTACTATCAAAAGGATAATTTTGAAAAATCAACTTTTTTTCAAATGTAATAATTGTACTACTAAAAAAAATTGAATTCCTTAAAAAGGACTATTATTTTGAGACAGAGAGAATATATCCTGTGATTTACGGCCCCAAAATATACATTTAATGATTAGGAGATTCCAACTTAAAATCTAAAAAAAATAAATTTTCAAACCCTTATCGTCACCAACTAGGGGTGGGCGCAGGTCGGTTACGGCCACGGAACCTGCAATCCGCTATCCGTTAGCCAGATTGGCGGATTGGAAAAAATCAATCTGCATCCGTCCGCCAATCCGGCGGATGTGGATTTAGCGGATTGGCGGATTGATGCAAATCAGTTTGGCGGTTTAAAATTTTATAAATTTTCAACATAATTCAACTTGTGCACTTTCTCAAAAAAAAAAAGAGAAAGAAAGTATTACAGTCAATGACTTAAAAAAGTATTACAATCACTGTATGCCTTATTTAAAGAAAGAAAGTTTAAAACTTTAGAATATCACGATCACTGCATGCCTCATCTACATATTATAATCACAGCATGATTCATCCACATAAAGTATTACAATCTGTGATTCTTAAAATATAATAACAATTCAAACCACCAAAATCATGAACAGAATAGTAGTAGAGATTGTATGTCGTATTGTTACATCTATATATATTTTTGAAAACAAAAACCAACCAGCATATATCATATTTTCTATTTATTATTTTTAGATTTAGATTTAAAAATAAAAAAATATAGATAATTAATACGTTTATTTTTTTCAATTCAAAAAATATATTCAAGTTGAAAATTTTTTTTCAACAGAATATTTAAATTCTTTTCCAATTGAAAACACAAACATAATATTTAAACAAATTGAAAACATAAAGTCTTATAAATTGTTAGGGGTGCTCGCGGTTAGGCGGTTCGGTTGCAGCCAAAGGAATCTCAAATCCGCCATCCGTCCGCCAAATTGGCGGATTGAAGAAAATCAATCCGCAACCGTCCGCTCGTCATCACGCATCCGTCCAAAATGCCAAAATTAAAATAAAAAAACAAAGTAAATAAATAATTTTTGGGCCAATCAGAGATGACCCCAACACCCTCACTGGGGTCCAATTCATTTTTCAAAATCTAACCATTAAACCTAAGATTTATATTGCAATAAAAATAATTAAATTTACAATTCACCTTTCGGCTTTTTTTATAATAAATTTTGTTTCAAATTTATGAACAAATGTATTAATTCATAATGTTAAGTGATAAAATGATAGACTCACACGCAAACTTTATATTTTCATTCATTAATATATTTTCCGATATATTTTGTTAGTGTCTCAAAATATTTTCATAACTCAAGCTAATTTTCAAATTTGACATATAATATAATTGAAATGTTTTTCACCATAAAGAAATTAATAAAATGAAAAAAATGTTTTTAATTATAAATATTTGATGGCAATAATTTTTATTTTTATTTTTTAGAAGGACAATATCAAAGAAGTTTAAAAAAAAAAAAAGAATTTTAAAAAAAATGTTGGCAATAATTTGGAGAGGATAGGATTTCTCTGGTCAAACGGTTGACCAGATTCACTTCAGCTGACACGACACACGTGGCATTAAACGAATGGATGTCTGTTTGACTGTTTGACCGGGTATCATAATCTTTGAAGATGCCGACGTGTCACCCTCACACGTTTTTTTTTTTTGTTTTTTTTGGTTGCGTAAAACATTTTGGGCCAGTTCACGCGTCCTAAATTAAGTTCTTGCAATCCGAACAAATCTTTTGAAATAGGAATTACTCTCTCTATTTCAAAATATTAATCATTTATTCTATTTTTTATTGTTCTAAAATATTAGTCCCTCTTTAAAGATCAAGTACAAAAATAATATAAATTTTTTATTTTGCCCTTCTTTTAAATTAATAAACAATATAAAAAGTACAATTATGATATTAATATTCCCAAAAAATGTACTATCAAAAGGATAATTTTGAAAAATCAACTTTTTTTCAAATGTAATAATTGTACTACTAAAAAAAATTGAATTCCTTAAAAAAGACTATTATTTTGAGACAGAGAGAATATATCCTGTGATTTACGGCCCCAAAATATACATTTAATGATTAGGAGATTCCAACTTAAAATCTAAAAAAAATAATTTTTCAAACCCTTATCGTCACCAACTAGGGGTGGGCGCGGGTCGGTTGCGGCCACGGAACCTCCAATCCGCTATCCGTTTGCCAGATTGGCGGATTGGAGAAAATCAATCTGCATCCGTCCGCCAATCCGGCGGATGTGGATTGAGCGGATTGGCGGATTGATGCAAATCGGTTTGGCGGTTTAAAATTTTATAAATTTTCAACATAATTCAACTTGTGTACTTTCTCAAAAAAAAAAAGAAAAAAAAGAAAGTATTACAGTCAATGA